ATTCTCCTTCATTCATATCTATCTTTTTAACATTGAAATGTTAATTTTATTGCACTATGAAGACAAATACTTATCAAATATCAAATCAAATACTTATCAAATACTCCAATTTTCTATTATTTTTTCTGTAAATATTAATTATCGTTATTGTTATTACTATATTACAATTATTATAATTATCAAATTTATTATTATGTCAGCATTATTATTTATTATTATAATATTATTGTCATCATTACTATTTCATTATGACCACTATTTGTTGCTATTTTTCATTATTATTATTTTCACCACATTATTATTTGTTATTGCTTATTATATTATTATTACCATATTGTTATTACTATCTTACTACTATTTGTTATTTATTAGCTATTGCTTTATCATTATTATTGCGTATGTTGTGCCAACAATTTACGATTAAGCAATTGAAGAGTAGGCAAATAGTTGGGGAAGTGCTTTCTATGGAAATATTTATGCAAAATGAGTTAACCATTGACAAATAAAAGTAACTTATCAGCAAACTGATGATAATTAATTATAAATAATAGTAATTGATTGATATTGCTGCAATTATTCCGCTGCAACTAATATTTCCTATTTACTGCAACATTGTTGCTTTCATAGTCTATACAGTATTATTACAATACTTCTTGGATCGATTTTCTAAAAGATAGAAATTGTGAAAGAATGGAAAGAAAAATGATTATTAGAATTGGGAATAAAAATATTACTTATTATTATTGTTTTTATGTATTATTACAATTACATTTTACTATTATTAATAATTATTAAACCAAAGGAAAAGGCTTTAATTGCTATAATTGCTGCAATAGTTAGAAGAGAATTTCATTTTATTTCATTTCATTAGAGAAAAATTTCGAAGTTTCTATAGAAAGAAGCAAAATTATGCTGAAATCTCTTGACTATTTTTTTCTTCTTGAAATTATAAACTTGAAATGTTTGATTTATTGTTGAAAATGATTGAAATTTCATTCTGCTCCTTTTTGCATCTTTCAGAGCTAATAAGAAAAGTGTTGAATGATGTCAGAAAACGTTATAAGATCTTTTACCAAACTTATTTGATATTTAAAAAGATTGAAAATTTAAAGAGAAGAATTAGTATCATAGAAGAAAAGGAATTCAATAGGCATTATTATTATTATTACGCTAACCTACATGATATTGAAACATAAACTTTCAAGATATCATTATGCATCAAGATATCATTACCCATCATCCTTCTCTCTCTCTCTCTCTCTCCTTTGAGAAAAAAGCATGAAAAGCTGATACATTTTTTTGATAATTAAAACTTATACAAGCAATATGTAAATTTATACTATCAGTTAAAGATACTTCTGATAGCTCAGTTGACTATTCTCTTATTTTTCCTCCTTCCAATATACAAACTACTCGAATTTAAGTTCTTCAGCTTTTGAAAAATTTTGACGAATATGGAAAGATAATATGCATTTCTCGAATGTATTTATCAATTAATTAGGCAAAAAACTTGAATTTTATGAAATGAAAATTAGTGCGAAGAATTTTCGTCGAATTTTACAAAAATATATAAATAGACTTTTTCCAGGTAGATATCATTAGGTTATTTGGTTCTACTGGTCATTTGGTCGTTTGTCTTCTTGATGATACAGGAAAAAAATATGGTCAGAATAATTATTTCATTCATTCAAGCTAACTGGTAGAGAAGAGTTTCAGTATAGTTAGATTGCTTCAAATGGAATATTTAAAGATCAAAAGTATCAATCATACACACGGAATTGTTTAATTAATCGAAATATAAAAATCTTGAAATTAATGTGACAAATGAATGAATGGTATTATTGTAAGAGAGAAGAAGACAACATAAACAAACTTCTTTTTTTTAGAGGAAAATGAATAAACAACGATGTGATATTTGTATTCGAATATATAATTAGTTAATTAAAGAAGAAAGAAAGAGAGGAGGATTGAAGTAAATGTATATTTTATTGAGAAAGAACAAAATAGAGTTTGCTTGTTTTCTTTTTTCTTTCAATGATTTATAGAAAAGATGAAGTAAAGCGATTTCTTTTCATTTTTAAAGTGGGTCGGTCTATGGATCTTCTTAGTGTCTACCTTCATAGGTAATAACAACTTCCATTATCTTACCCAAACATTTCATCCCTCTTAAAATCTCATCTCAAATACAGCAACAACAATGACGAAAACATAAAACAACAACAATAGCGATAATAACAAAGATAATAACAAGCATCAACAATAACAACAATAGCAATAACAAACAACAACAACAACAACATTAAAATATATAATTTTTGCACGATAATCATTCCATTTTTTGATTTTATTCGGAGAGAAACTTTAGCAAAAAACTGAATGCAATTGAAAGTTAACAATTCCGTTTCAATGAATACTTGAATGAGTGGACAGTTCAAGTGTGATAAACATCGATAGTAAGGCATACATTGAAAGTTGTCATTTCGAATATTTTGTAGCCAAATAAATGAAAAAGAAATAAAGGGAAAACTAGAGGAAAATTTCATTATCGTGAAACTTTTCAATAAGGAATTAAATTCACTTACCTTTATGCAATGTGATTTGCATGGCAATATTAGTTATTTCAATCTATCAGCATAGTATCCATATTCAAACCAATTTATTTCAAATTTAGAACAAGAAATTTAGCAAACAAGAGAATACAAAATGCAAAATTCAAATTTAAATCAATGTGGAAGTAAAAAACAAAAAGAAATGAATATACTATAAATATTAAATCATTCCGCATAATTATGATGTTAATAGCCTTAACAGTGTGATAAAAAAGTTGGTAGGAAGAATTCACAATTGAAGTATACCCAATGATACAGAATGATAGGACATTTTGTTCTGAAATGAGTAAAAATTAAAATTTCAAAAAAAAGATTATCTTCGATGAAAATTGTGGACCACTTTGAAAACACTAATAAACCTAATAATTAAAAGAAGAAATGAAATCGAAATTTCATTCGTTTTCAAAGGGAAAAAAAAGATAAAAGTGAGCACATTAAAAAATTTATAATTTCATCAACATTGAATATACTAAATCCCAATCTGGAAAAATCTGAATTCTAAATTTTTCTTATATTATTATGTTTCTATTTTTATCCTATCTCTAATAGTTCCATCTTTCAACGTTTCAATATCTTTCTCATCGAATTAAAAATGGGAGAAGATTTGGCTGTTCAAGAAAATGAATTTGTATCAACAACCAGACAGGCATGCTGCACTTAAATCTATTTTTGCTAACAATTCGTAGTGTTCGTTGAGAGAGAGAAAGAGAATTGTTCAGGAATTTTCATCCCCACTAATCTTAATGGAACAATATTACGAAAATTATGTTTTACTTTTAATTCAGATAAATGCTTTTATATAATTTTATCTTTCCGACAATAAACCATTTTATATGGAAATGATGGATTAATTTGATGAGAACTTATTAAAATTAATCAACAGTTGAAATTGATAAATCAAATGACGTAGAAGTTTTTGATATGCTTGTAATCTAAGAATTACTATTGTCGTTGTTGCAAGCTCATCCTTATTTTCCAATTTTCATTTTCACTGTTAAAAATAGAGATTTGAATTAAAATTACACCAAGAAATAATTATGAAAAATCGTGAAACAATAACATCAAGAATAAAGTAATTTTCTCTTCCAGAAACGAATAAACATTAGAAGAATGAAGAGATAGATACTTATAAAACTTATTGAGTTCCATTTCTTCTTCGGCTATTCAATCGAATTTCACGTTAAACATTCTGTTGAAACACTTTCAAACAAATTATCTTTTATTTTAACAAAGCAAAATGAGTCACAACTAAAAAATTTTAAGCATATTTAGAAAAAAAGATTGATCCTACCATTGATCTCAGCAGCTTTAAACGATATGATACCAAAAGATTTAATATACTATCAAAAAAATTGAAGGAGAAAACTGTGCTTTTTTTCCTCTCTGTTAATTTTATTAATTAATATGGAGGAAAAATCTTTTCTTTCTTCCTCAGCGGCAACAATAACTCAAGCATCTGAATAATTAGTCAAATCACAAATTATATTCAATCGATTTAAACTGCAATACAAAGCATAATACAATAATAGATTACAAATTAAATACATGATAAACAAAAGCTAATCAGTTTTTAATCTTCTACAGCAAAAGTGAAGAAAACGAGAAAAAAAAAGATATTGTAAATAAACAAAGTGTTTACTTGAATTCTTATGAAAATAGCACAAAGTTACACTATAAACACAAATGATAATTGCGAGTTAAATTTAATCGATTTTGTAAACGGAAAAAAAGAACTATCAATTTGATTAGGAAAACTTATTCGAAAGAGATGAAAGAGACTTTTAAGAGATGAAACCTTTATACATCAATTTTGGATATATTTTTAACAGCAAAATTTGAACTTTTATACAAAACCACAAATATTCTACAATCAATGCATATCTATAGCACGCTGATTTCCATACACAAACTGTATGGAAAATACTACAAATGATTTGCATTGCATTCGATTTAAAAATAAAAATGATGTAGAGAGAATAGAAAACCTGTATAAGAGAGAGAATAAAAATAAAAGTTTGTGAGTAACAATTTTCTAATACAGAAAAGAAGAGATATGCAATGCAGGCACTAGTTATATATTGAATGGATGCATTATTTGAAAAGTGCAATTATGGAAATAAACACAGATATAGAAAGATAAAATGCTTCATCAAATAATGCAATATGCGCTCATAATTATTGCAGAAAATATTTCATAGAAACAATATTTCATTTTAAACACAGATAAATACCTCCAAGAGATAGATGAAGTAATTCACTATTTCTTCTTTCTTTTATTCGTTTTAAATTTTTATGAGACGCTATTATTTTACATCTGTAATATACTTGATCATCTACAATTCAAAACAAGTAAATTTACGTATTTACAACATAATTATCAGCAAATATATCTCAATTTTCAATAGAATTATATGGTGGTCGCTGTTGATGCATACAACGAAATAGATCACGGTATCGGTCAGTTAATCGAAAAAAATCACAACAATCTATAATAAATAAAAAAGTGCTAGTAATGAGTTAAAGTTGACATTATCCTCATGACAACAGAGGATGCCCGATAACATGATTGCAAAAACAGACCATTACTGCATGTCGGGGTTTGGAAAGGTATGAAAAAAACAATCCTAATATTATTTTAATCGAAAAATATAGAAGCCGGCTAATCGCTTTACTTCAAACTTTTAAAGCACCTTGAGATTTATTTTGCTATATTTCAATAATGCTCATATGAAATTTTTAAAAGTATGAGATTATTCTAAACTAAAAACATAATTTGCATTAATTCTTTGAAAGCAATTAATTTCGGAAGAATTAATATTATCTTGTTATAAATAATAGAAAAAAATTCTTTCACCTAATTCGAGTAAATTTCTTGGAGAATACTGAAATCGTCTTTCTTCAGCATCTACTAAATTATGTGATTCGCCTGCACATAAAAGTTGTAATAGTGATTTCTTTTCCACCTCTTGACTTCTGTAGCGATCCTGTAATCTTTGCAAATATAAAACATCCGCAGTTCAATATTCACTTTGTAAACATCACAAAATCAGAAATGATTACTGAGAGGATCTTCAACTTAAAGGTATATGGTAACAATAAATAGGGATGGTATTTAGTGGCTCACATAACACCAAGCAAAGAGAAAATTAATCTTTATTAATCTAAATTTTTTCGAGTTTGGAGAGAATAAATGTTCGATTTAAAATACCTCCCATCAATCCGTCTTCTTTCAAAACATTATAAGTTGTCCATTTTCTTTATTTTATTAAATAAAGAAAGCAAAACTTCTCTCTGGTATATTTTTTATCTTCTTCCTTTTTTATTCAGACACTATTTTTACATTTACCAATCTGTCATCATTAATGACTAGTAATAAGAATTCCAAAACATCAAATGAAAAGAATGAAAAAAAATTCAGAGAATGTGCTGCATAAGTTAGAAAACGTTTAGCAAACATACCCTGATGACTTCATAAGCATCCATGATTATAGCAATAAATAGTGATAAAACTACGTAAATGAATAAAGATACAAATATATAAATGTATACTGTGCCAAATATTTTAATAATGGTATTAGAGTCGTTGATAGTAAAGAAAGTAGCAAACATATCATCACCATTTAATAATGAAAATAACGCTTCTGATGATTTTCCCAAAGTACGAAACTGAAATTATTTTGAATTTAATGAATCGATTGGATATAGAGTAGTAATTTGATTTAAGGAGTGAAATTATGAGATACATATTTCCTACACCGTAAAAGGAGATATCTGGAGAGTTATCCATGTAAAGATATCCATGTAAAAAAATACACTTGGATTATTATTAAACGGTTTGAAATACCAACATTCGAAATACCGACATTAGATTGCTAATAAGCAGTTAAAATAAAATAAGTTTAACCATAGGTCAATAATCTCTTTCAAAAAAATCTCATGTTGCTGTATCTGCATGCAATCATGTGAATTTCAAGCCATCTTAATTAGATAATCTCTCTGGTGATTTTAACGACAAAATTAAACATTATATCGCAAAAATCCTAATAAAAAAAAACCTTTAAACTATACGGTCCGATTATAACCCATCCGGCAATAAGAAAACCGGCATAAAGAACAGCTGCACATGACATAAATCGAAGAATATTCGGTAATGATTTCTTTACTGTTAAAATTAATATCTGAAATGGACTTGTTTTTTTTAAAAAAAGAGAAAATTCACAACAGAATAGTTCATTACTAAATGACGATTTCTCGATGAAAAAAACCCACGTTATATTTTGAAAAGAAACAGAAGTAACGCAGTACACCGACGTAAACCAGAAGAGCACCGGTGCCCAGTAATATACCAGACGTAGTAAACAGATCATTATCAAAATCCTGAAAAGTTCTAGAAAAGTTGTCATTTTCAATAACAAAGAGTAGAAGAATTTACATATTACTGCCTACGAATTTGATGAATTTGGGACATCGTAAAAAGAAGCACTCAATTTTTTTGAAGACCAGTACATAATGTTACTCGTGGGAACTTAACTATTCTGAACACTAATAAAAATTGTATGATTCCAAGTTCAAATCTGATATTATAAAATCTCTAGGCACTTAGCAACTTTATGAAACCAACTTTCTGATCGCTCATCATTCCTCCAGTATTCCTTTAGCCAAACTGTCAGTAGGTAAATCTGTAGCTTCAGAGTTCGACGAGGTTTCAAAACAGCAAATATAATAGAGACTGAAATTATTTACCTTGAATTCAATTGTGATTTTGCAGAGAGTGCCACAGATAATGCATATGTCGTTTGCAACAATCATCACATACCAAAAATTCAAAAATTCCAATTGATCACTTAGCATCAACTCTCGTCCCAATGCATTTCTAACAAACTGTACTGTTGCCTAAATTACAAAAGTAAAATAAATCAAAAATTGATACTACTTATTTATTTTATAGCTGCAGGAAATTTGTTATTTTCCGAAATATTATTACAGGAAAAATGGCAAAACAGTCGTAAAACTGCAAATGACAAATAAATAAGTGGATAGACGAAGATATGACATGATACTATCATGAAATTCACGAAATGACACGCCGATCCTTTATACAGATAAATAACTGATGGTTGAATGTAATCGAAAAATTTTCGAACCCAACATAAAAAACAATAAAACTCACCAGCTTTAGGAGGTGAGCTCGAAGAAGCGCACGACAACATAGTATTAATGAGGCGATACACATGAACAAAACCACAATATCAATAACAAATATGATAATGCTAACTGTGGGTTTACCAGCTCCTGAAATAATAGGTGATATACTTCCATATATTATGCACCTGAGTCCTATCATTTTCAGATCTTTTCGTAATACACGTAATTACGTTCTCACATTCATCATTAAGAGTACGCAATTTGTAATACACTAAACATAGTCAAAATCCAATTCATCTCTTTTTTCCTCCCTTGTTTGTAATAAATAATTTCATTGTACATAGCTTGTCATTCTTTCCAAAAGACGGTAAGCGAAAGACAAAGATGAAAGAAAGGAAATTTGATATTTCACAATGAAAAAAATGAACTAAAAAACTGGTCAAATTATTTGACAGCTGGTACATACTATATATAACTCGACCATTGCAAAGAGTAATATAACTGATGAGTGTTGACATAGAAATGTATACTTGACCAGTATGTCGGGAGTTATCGAAAGTAATTGAAACCTAAATAGTTAATATCA